AAATCCCCCTAGGAATTTATTCCATGTCTGGTATGACACAAAAAAAAAAAAAAAAAAAAAGAAAAAAACATTATAACAATAAAAATAAAATACTTGTACAGCAATTACTGTGTGTCAGGCACTTTCTAAGAACTATATAATTCATATAAGCCATATATGCTCACAACACACATACACATACATAAAAGTTCAATCTTACATTCAATCTTACAATCTAACATTGAAGGTAGGAACTGCTACTATTTTCATTTTATAGATGGAATAGAAATAAAGTTCTTGGCAAATAATTATGTCTTACATAGTTTTTTAGCCTCTATTTCTTCATACATTTTACCCATCTGTTAGTGTTTATGATTAAAGAGATCCAACATCCTTTAGACTTAATGCTTACTTTTGTAGTTCAATACTTTTGTCTCTTTCTTCTTTAAGTTTCCTTTCCTTGTTTTCAAATTTTACTTTCACTTCTTTTACTTGTGACTCAAGATGACACAGAAGCTCTCCTTTGTCCTGCCACTTCTGATTAAGTGTACTAATATGAAAAGAAATAATTTTAAAAGTAAGTTGGGTATACAAAATTATTAAGCCACGCTTTATTCCTTAGTGGGAAATATAATACCTGTAAGCGTTTCGAATATCTTCAAGTTCTAATTCCTTTAGTTTCAACTGATGTTTTAGTTTTTCTTTTCTTTCATTGTGCTTTTCCAATTTCTCAAGTATACAATCCAGCTGAATACATTTTTCCTCAAGTTGTTCTTGATTACATTTTTCTATTTCAGTGATCTTTTCTTGTAATACTTTGATCTGTACATCTTTTTCTTGTAAACACTTGAAAGGAAAAAAATTAGTACTTTATTAACCTTAAATCTTAAATGCCTCCTAGTCTGGTTAAGTATGTATGATTTAAATTGTAATTTAAGGATATTTTAAATACATAAAGTACTAATTTTCTTGTGACCCCTAATCTTTTATTGATAGAATATTTATAGTTATTCTAAAGGCCACAATAAAATTCTCCATAGAACTCTAAAGTAAAATTCATTTCAAATTAATAAATATCATATAAAACTTTTAACAGTAAAGGAGCAAATATTATAAAGGGAAATACAGTGATAGTCTGTCCTAAATTCTATAACAGTTGGGAAACAATGAAATGAATATTTTTGGACAGTTTAATCCACAGATTTTTCAACCTGTCATTTGTTCTTTAACCAAGATAAAATGTCAAACTTACAACTTTTAATTTTCTGATGGTTTGAGTTTGGTCTTCTATGATTTTGCACTTTATTCTTAATGTATCATTATTACTTTCATTTGTCTTTCGCAGACATTCATTCTCTTGACATAAACTTTCAATTTGGGCCTCCAATTTTCCACGATTTTGGGCTAGAGTAGATCCTAAGGAACAAATATCATCAGTTATAAACTTGAACGTTTTGTATTTTATGAAAATATAATTTAACAATGTACAATACAGTAAATGAAAAGAACTAAATGAAGAAATAAAACATAATTGTATAATGTGAATAGTGAAGTAGTGAACAAAAGGGCCTTCTAAACACTTGTGGCTACTTAAAAACTTAAAACTACACATAGAGTCAAGAACAAGTAACTCAGATATGTAATACTTAATTCATGTTATGGTATTCAAACAGAGTCCTATTTTAAATTCCGATAGTAGGCTGGGTGCGGTGGCTCATGCCTGTAATCCTAGCACTCAGGGAGGCTGAGGTAGGTGGACTGTTTGAGCTCAGGAGTTTGAGACCAGCCTGAATAAGAGCGAGACCCCATCTCTAAAAGTAGCTAGACACTGTGGTGGGTGCCTATAGTCCCAGCTAGTTGGGAGGCTGAGGCAAGAGGATTGCTTGAGCCCAAGAGTTTGAGGTTGCTGTGAGCTATGACACCACAGCACTTTACTGAGGGCGACAAACTAAGACTGCCTCAAAATAAATAAATAAAAATTCCTATAGAGAATGAATAAGCAATGCTCCCTTTAAGACCACCATCTAGTTATTCATAATTTTTAAGGTATCTATGAATGCCATAAAACGGTATATATCTCTTGTTTCATAGTGATTAGAAAGGCACCGAGGTTTAGCTAAACCTGTAGTGGTTTTCATTCATACACTCCTTCACATTTCTGCATGTAAATAAAATGCTACAAGTGAGGAAAAACTTAAATGTTGCAAACTGTACAAATTACTTAAAATTGCTGTGTAAGAATTATTTGTAACAACCTATTTAGCTGTAGAACATGGTTCAGAAAGGTGACCAAACTGTCTTGGAAGGAAAACAATAAAAAGAAAAATCAGAACTGTAATTTCCTAAATGGTATAATAAATTATTTCCCAATTCCTAGTGGGATTTTATTATTGTTTGACTGGCAAATGTAGTCAAATGAACAGTGACACTTTCAGATAAGTGTCACCATTTTCTTGGCATCTGTAGGCAGTCAAGTTCTTCCTGTTTGAGTTTCCTCCAATACCCAACTTTGTTATTTTAAGAATAAGCTAACATTTTCCCTCTGAAAATCTGAGAATTTTACCTTGTTGTGCCAGCTCATTTCCCCATGCTTTTCTCTCAGACCTTAAACCAATAATCAGTGATTCCTTGGCTGCTAGCTCCGAAATGAGTTGCATTTTTTCGTGCTTGAGAAGTTCTATTTGAATACTTTTCTGCTTGTCATCTTCAATTAAAATTCCAAGGGTGTTCATTTGATTCTGTGTATTCCCCAAAAAAATTGGGGGAAAAAAGCAAAGTAGTTAATCACTTATTTCCTATTTTTTGCATTTCATAATGAGAAAAAATATTACTTATACATATACAGAGTAAACAGGGCCAAATTTTATACTAAAGTTTCAATTTTATTAAGATAAATATATTTAAGGAAATAAAAGTCGAATTTTAAGAGGACACTCTTTTAAACATTCTGATTTTTAGTCTAAAATTTTAAAAGAGCAACTATAGTTTTAACACTCAAAATTTCTCACCAAGCATTTATTACCAAGTATAAATTAAGTCACTTTTTAGTGTTTAAGGTAAGCTAACAGCAATGAAGATATTAATTTAAAAATTATTACAGCTCAGTAGATCTAAGTATATCCACTAGTAGCACACCACAACAAAATAATAATCTAAGTGGTCTTTCTTTAAAAATACTTGCTGTGTTACAACTGACACCTACTTAAATTAACATGCTATTAAAATTAATCCACTTATTTTAAACACTGTTTTAATGTAAGCAATATGATCTGTGAAATTACGACTTTAAATCTCCTTAGTTATACTCTTTTCATATACATCACCATATTATAGTATCATTTAAAAGTTCCTTTTCTGTACTTTCTAAAATCATCACACTTGAGAAAATGATATAAAAAAATTAAAAAGGAATACAATGTTACAAAGCTTTACCTGTAAATTTGCGGATGTTTCTTGTTTCAATTTGGAAACTTCTGCAAGTTTTGATTTTTGCTCTTTCACCATACAGGTCAGGTCTCTAATTAAAGAGGAAGACTCATTTTCTTTTCGCTGAGCCCAAATAAGAGCATGTTTGCTTTTTGCTAACTGAGTTGCAACATTTTCAAAACCATCTTTAACCTGTATTTCAAAATTACATCATAAATAGCAGTTCTCTAAGTAATTAGAAAATATTCGCTTGTGGAAACAATTTATAGCTTTTATTTGTGTAATCATAAAGTTTTAGCAAATAAATAAAATTTAAAGATAATTTGTTCTAATCTGTTAATACTAATTTCCAGATGATGAAACAAAAGACCCAGGAAAGTTACGTATTTGCTCAAAGTCACCTAAGGAATTGGTGTCAGATCTAAAACCAAAACATATTCATTTAACAAATATTTACTGAGCGTCTGCTGTTGCCAGACATTGTTCTGGGTGCTAGAATCCATGAATTAAAACAGATTAAAACCTCTGTCTTTGTAAAGCTTACATTCTAGTGCAGCGGTTCTCAACGTGTAGGTCGCAACCCCTAAGACCATCGGAACACACATCCTGCATATCAGATATTTACATTACAATTCATAACAGTAGCAAAATTATAGTCATGAAAATAATTTTATGGTTGGGGAGTCACCATAACATGAGGAACTGTATTAAAGGGTCATGGCATTAAGAAGGTTGAGGAACCACTGTTCTAGGGGGCAGAGAGTGACAATTTGACAACAAGGAAAATAAACTATATATCATGTTAGGTAATATTAAATGGTTGGGCAAAACAACATTAGAAGGATATGAAGTGTGGGAGATACAGGTTCAATTTTGAATAGTATAATTGTTAAGAAAGGAAACACTGGACAATAGCTTGAATGGGGGCTATGCAACCTGAATGTTCTAGGCAAGAATGTGCCTGGGATACTGAAGGAATAGGAAGAAGGCTGGTGTTCCTGGAGTGCCATAAATTAATGGGAGAGTAGTAGTAGAGGGTTAGATTGTGAAGCATTTTGAATATCACTCTGAGTAAAAAGAAGGGACACTGGAGGTCTCTGACCTGGCTTGCATATTAAAAGAACATTCTAGCTACTGTGTATAAATATAAAGTAGGGTGGGAGGCAAAGATGAAGCAGGAAAACCAATTCAAAGCTCTTAATACAATACAGGCAAGAAACAATGTGACTTAGAGCAGGGCAGCAGTAATAGACGTGGTAACGAATGGCGAATGGCCCGATGACAGACTCTCTTGAGGCACACTGCATGTGGAGTGTCAGAGAAAGAGGAGTCGACAATAATTGTAGTGTTTTTGTCCTAAGCACCTAGAGGGATGGAACTAACATTAACTGAAATAGGAAGACTGTTGAAGTAAAAAGTTTGGAGAAGGAGGGATCAGTAATTTCTTGTTAAGTGGTTACACATACAAGTTGAAATTCAGGCAAAAGGTCTAGGCTGGATATATAATAAATAAAGCTGGAGAAATTCATCAAGAGACTGAGTGTATCTAGAAGTTTAAGGACTGAAACTTGGGTATTTCAAAATGAAATTTTGGAGAACACAATGGAAACCTATAAAGGAAACTGAAAAGAAGTGAAGTAACAGAAAAATGAAGAAAATTAAGAAATGTGATATGTTAAACACCAAGTGAAGAAAGAGTCTAGAGAAGGATGAAGAGATGAACCTGTCAAATGCTGCTCCTCAGTCAAACCAGATGAGTAATTGAAGACTTTTGCAGTGTGGATGCTGTGGGTGGCTTTGACTACTAGAATAAAGCTAGAAGAGCAAGGAAGAGAAGAAACAGGAAATACACATTTTTGAGAAGTCCTGTTATAAAAGAAAGTAGAAAAATGAGGTGGTAGCTAAAGGGGAAAGTGGGATTAAGGGAGCTTTCTCCAAGATGAGAGAAAAAACAGCATGCTTATGTATATGCTGAAGGGAATGATCCAATAAAGAGTAAAAACAACTAATGTAAGAGTGAGAAAGATGCACAAAGCCATAATCTTGAGTAGGCGAGATGAGATGTAGTGTGTACCAGCTGGGACTGGCCTTAGGAGCAAGATTGTTCATCTATGGTAGGAGTTACACTTTTCTTTAAAGAGACAGAAAATAACCTATTAGAATTTATAGGCCAGGCCATATGGTCTCTGTTGCACTAACTCAACCCTGCTTTGGTAATACAAAGCAGCCACGGCTCAGCGCCTGTGGCTCAAGTGGCTAAGGCGCCAGCCACATACACCTAAGGTGGCGGGTTCGAATCCCCAGCCCGGGCCCGCCAAACAACAATGATGGCTGCAACCAAAAAAAAAAAATAAAAATAAAAATGGCCAGGCGTTGTGGCAGGCGCCTGTAGTCCCAGCTACTTGGGAGGCTGAGGCAGGAAACTCGCTTGAGCCCAGGAGTTGGAGGTTGCTGTGAGCGTGATGCTATGGCACTCTACCCAGGGGGGATAGCTTGAGGCTCCGTCTCAAAAAAAAAAAAAAAAAATACAAAGCAGCCACAGATAACATGTAATTAAATGAACTTGGCTTGGTTCTAATAAAACTGTGTTAAAAAACAGGCAGTGGGCCATATCTGGCCTGGGGGCCTTAGTTTTGCCAATACCTGCTTTATAGTAACAGGAGGAAATTTAAGTTTCCCAAATTCTATTCTGGTACTCTCTTTACTTTATCATTTATAATCTTACTTAGCTTTGTAACAACCAAAAATAATGGCTGTTGCTTATTTGAGGAAACTAAAGCATTTATGTAATATGCTTAAGATCATATAGCCACATGTAAACAGAGCTAGGATTCTTAAACGAAGTCCTCTCGTTAAATCATATCTGACTGATTCTGTTTTTAATAAAAAGCTAGATGCTGATTCTTACATCTTGAAATCTTCTGGCTTCAATAGTTAATGCAATGCGAAATTCATTTTCTAGCTCCACATATTGCTGGTTTAATACATCAATTTTATCTTGGTATTCTTTTATAACTTGCTCATGCTTTTTCTCTTCTTTGGCTATTTCTTTAGCTAAGGCATCCTGAAACTCTGCATCATTAAAAAAATCCCTTGTTTCAAGTTCTTTCCTGGAATAAAAAACAAAAACCAAAGGATGTTTTCCTAAAAAGACAAACTTTTTAAGTCTTTAAATAGTTTTTAATATTCTATGTTTCCTATTGTTAATTTAAGATCAACTTCTCACTTTCAAACAAAGAAACTTGGCATAGGTAGGTACAGAAAGAATATGAGTTTTATTTGCTGTGTATATAATGGTGTTGGGGATGAGAGGAATATGAGCTCTGATGATTAAGTCTGGAAACTCATCTAAGAAAAAGTGCTACATTACCTCCCTGAATTATCACTACAGTCATCTCTGAAGTACTCCCCTCGGGAAGCTATGTGCCCATGCCAGTGCCTAGTCCATCCTTCAATGAAATTTTTGAATCTTTCTGGAATAACCACCAGAGTTGTTAATGTATGGCACCTTAAAACATGTAAGAATAATGAATGCCACTCAGCAAGACACCACCACACATCAACATGAACACAGCTGTGAGACAGTGGTATACCAACATTACAAAACCTTACCAAGCTGTCTGTATGCACTGCCAACTGGCAAGTTCACAAACTTATCTGTCAGACATTGTACAATGACAGCTTGGATGGTCACTCCAAAATTTCTTCAAAGGGAGGCCTAGGCACCGGCATTAGTGCATAGCTTCTCAAGGGGAGTACTTCCAAAGTGACCACAGTGATAGTCAGCAATGAGGTTAACTATGGCTTTTTCTACGATAAGTTTGTGAACTTAATTATCAAACCTCACGTGTCAAATCTTAACTAAGAGATAGCTCAGAATCATTTTATGGCTTCTGAAATTCTTTAGGTACCTTAGCATAATCTAAGTTCTGCTTTATTGTAGTGAATACTCTGGCTGAGTCTATGATTTATAATACAGTCTGCCTAGCCTTCCTTGGTAGTTGGTTAATAGAAAAAGTCAGTTAAAGTATAAAATTATTAATGAACTTTTTGCTATTGGGTCAGTTTTTTAAACATTTAAATATGAGTTCATTCTTTAGCATTTTCTATTATTTTTCTTGCATGATTTAAATCCATAATGCAACAAAATTCATTATTCCTAGTTCTGGTTTCTTTAACCTGGAATGAGAACTTAAAACATATTTGCTAAGGAATCTAAGTGTAAGATCCTTGATTTTTGTGATTATTTCCCCCCCCCATCTTTTATAGTTATTGCTCCTACACACAATGACAATTTTCCCCAGAGCACCAAAATTAATTTTAAGCATTAAAATTTTGTATAAATACAAAAAAAAATGGGTTTGAAAATATACACCATTCACCTATGGCAATCACACAATTCAACTGGTAGGACAGGAAATCAAGGTTTATTGAACCCTGCTTCAGAAGAATAAAGAATACTAATTTAACAAGTGACTACTTATTAAAAGTTGTCTCTCTCTCTATATATAATAACCAACTTTTGGTTGGGTTTGGAGAAATGCAAAATAAGGTTATAAGTCCAAACCTCAAGCTCAGGTAACAAAGTCACCTACTTGTTCTTTAGGTTCTTGTTACAGGCTGATTCTAATCATATGTTAACATGGTAATTTCCATGAGCTAATTCTGTCAAACTTCACCAATGCTTAATGATTATCCTTAAATATGCGGGGAGGAAGGAGCCAATACCCTTCTTTTTCTATTTTTAATCGCCAATTATCTTCCTAATACAGTTTTTATTTACCTGTGTTCCTGCTCTTTCACTGCAATAAGTTCATGAAGCTGTTGTACTTGATCCTTTTCTTGATGAAGTGAAGTTCTAAGTAAGTTTATTTCTCTATCAGCAGCAGAAGCTTTGAGCTCTACCTCTTGAATAAGTCTTATCTAAATAAAATACACACAACTATAGTATTTAGATAATAATGTCCCCTGTTATTTTAATGGCAGTTCCCATAAAAAAGTGCCTTCTAGATGATAGGATCTAATTACTAAGCTGATTTTCAAAATTTATTAAATTGATGATGCTATAGTCACACTAAGTACAGTCCTTGGATGCAATAAAGACGTATTAGCATTAAGGGCTGCTTACTTATACCACATATTTTAATAATGATTTCAGTCCAGAAAGCATGAGAATGAAATTTCTTCAAGCCCCACAAAGACTTTTAAAAACTAGCTCTCTCAGAACACAAGTCTAACTACCGATAGTTCTACCAGCTTTCCTTTAATTGCTTTGTGTAAGTGCTAGTAGCCTTGATTTAGACACAATTCAATAGGCTATATCAGTGGTTTTCAACCTGTGGATCATGACCCCTTTATAACAATGAAAATACACTGCAGCACTCAGAAGGTTGAGAACCACTGGGCTGTATGATTGTTAAAATTTAATTTTTGTGTATAGCCTACCACTTTTTAGATTTAGTAAATGGTACAGTTTGTTTCAAGACAGAAGTTATGAATTTTTGTTAATCTATGTCCCTGACACATTAAAATAGAAAAATACCTGTGCTGCCTGCTGCTGTCCTCTTTGTTTCTCCATTTTTTCTAATGCTTTTTCCAGGGTTCTTAAGTGTTTAAGATGATCCTCTTGTTGATCTCGTGCTTTCATTAATTCAATAGTTAGTTTTTTAATTTCATTTTGAAGTCTGTGCACCATAACCTCAAGTTGTGCTTTGGAATTTCTCTCTTTACAAATAATTTCTTTTAGCCTAAAGTAGAAATTATTTGGTGTTAAGTACACTACCTACATAAAAATGATAATGCAGTCAGTGTAAAAACTTACAGTAGAGAAGAAAGTCTGAAGTATGTTTCTAACTTTAATTATAGTAAAAACTAGCTAAAAAACAATATGCCTTTCCTCCATTTCCTGAATCTAACATTGTCCCCAAAGGGAAAATGACCTACATAACAAAAGTTTATCTTATGTGGAATTTACTATTCAATCGCAGAACTTTACTAAATACCTAACTTGTTTCAAGTGCTAGATATTGACTTAAAAGCCAGGAAGATGAGTAAGACACAGTCTTTGTCTTGTAGTAACTCTGAATCTAGCAGAGGGAACAGACATGGATACACTTGTATAGATTAGACCACTTTGATTATAATGGAAAACTCTTAGCTGGTTTAGATAAAAAGAGGAGAATTTACTGACCCATATAAGCAAACTTAGAGGACAAGGTGGCAATATTCTGAGGGACCACAGAAGCCCCAAACAAGAATACCATCAGGACTCTCTTTAAAGGATGATCCCTAGAGGCTGTAGCTTCAGTTTTTCCTCCTTCAGGCATCTTTACATATGAGGTGGGGTGGGGGTGATGCACAAGTATCCTTGCAATCATAGTCTAACAGCTCTGAGAATTAAATAGGGAAGATTTCCTTTCTCTAAGAAGAGTTTTCGGAAAGGCTCTGATTAGTCCAATTAGATTCATATATCTACCCTATGAATGAATCACTGTGGCCACAGGCTAAGGCATGTTTACCCAGTTTGGGTCAGGTACTCATCTGTTAACTAAGTACTGTAAGGAAGGAGGCAGGTGGTTGATGATATAATACTAATCTAGTGTTTACAAAAGGGACAGTGACAAAGACACAGCCTCCTGAATTACTGAGCTACCACAATGCATAGCTACTGTAATTTTAAAAAATGTATTCATCAACTTCTATACTACGGTCCTTTCTCCAATTCTCATCCCTTACCATCTTTCTTCTTAGCTTTAATGAGTAGTCTCCAAAATGGTTTTGCCTTGTTCCTTCCCTCAACTCCTGCTTAGTATGTTATATGGAAGAGAGTTGGACTACAAGCTGGATAGGAGCCGAGAAACTCAAGACAAGCAGAACAGGAGGAATTACTTAAGCAAGAAATAAGGGCCTAAGCTAAGGTAACAGTTTTGGGATATAGAAGGTAGTAATAGTTCAACATATTTTAAGAAGTAGAAAGAAGAAGAGATCAATACCAACCGGCTATGGGATATGAGAAACAGAGTGAAAAAATGACTCCTAGTTTTTTAGCTTTGGTGGCTACCTAGACGCTGGATAAGACACCAGTTATTAGGGCCAGGAATATAGAATAAGGAAGAAGAGTGTGCCTCTAAGGACATGCTTATTTTTAGACATTTTTGATAAATATAGACAAGGCATTTTATTTTATTATTATTTTTTTGGCTAGGGCTGAGTTTGAACCTGCCACCCCTGGCATATGGGGCTGGTGCCTTACTCCTTTGAGCCACAGGCGCCGCCCATAGACAGAGCCTCAAGCTGTCCCCCTGGTTAGAGTACCGTGGCATCCCAGCTTACAGCAACCTCCAACTCCTGGGCTCAAGTGAGTCTCCTGCCTCAGCCTCCCAAGTAGCTGGGACTACAGGCGCCTGCCACAACGCCTGGCTATTTTTCTGGTTGCAGCCATCATTGTTGTTTGGCGAGCCTGGGCTGGATTTGAACCCGCCACCTTAGGTGTATGTGGCTGGCACCTTAGCCGCTTGAGCCACAGGCGCCGATCCAACAAAGTGTTTTAAATAGATACTTAGATGACAGATCTGGTCATCAAGGAGGTCTGGACAATAGATACCATAGTAGTTGAGATTCAATTTTTAAAGATAACATATACACATAGCAATACCTAGAAGCCAGACTCTGTATTAGGTGCCAGGAGGTATACAGAGTCCCTACCAAGCCACATAAGGCAATATAAAGACTGGTGAGGCTCTAATCTGGAACAAACATCTGGGATAGAGATAAAAGGAGAATCAGAAAAGATTGAGGCTAATTTTTCTCTTCTTTTTTTTTTTTTTCTTGAGGCAGAGCCTCAAGCTGTTCCCCTGGGTAGAGTACCGTGGCATCACAGCTCACAGCAACCTCCAACTCCTGGGCTCAAGAGAGTCTCCTGCCTCAGCCTCCCAAGTAGCTGGGACCACAGGCACCCACCACAATGCCTTGCTATTTTTTTAGTTGCAGCTGTCATTGTTGTTTGGAGGGCCTGGGCTAGATTCGAACCTGCCACCTCCTTAGGTGTATGTGGCTGGTGCCTCAGCCACTTGAGCCACAGGCGCCAAGCTGAGGCTAATTTTTCAAGATAACAATTAACATGTAACTTGGGAAACATGCACACAATGGACAGGTTTAGTAAGGACAAAGACGAAGTGTGCCCAAAGCTTTCCAATTTACATGGAGTTTAGCTAGCAGCTTCCTCTAATGTCTCACCAAATAATACCCATACGGTAAAGCAAAAATTCATACACCTACACCTAAAAAAAAAAAAAAAAAAAAAAGATGATGTAATGTCAAAATCTGGGAGGAATTTCATTCAGTTATAAGGCAAAAAGAACTAAACTGAAATAAAAACAACTCCTAGAACATTTAGGCTTTGCCTCCTAAAACTCCTTCATTCTGAAAAAAAGGATGCCACACACACATCCCTCTCTGCTACTGTCTGTCCATGACTCAGTCACAAGGGTCTCTATCAATCTGTCATTACGCAGTTGGTTTCCCATGTACCTACTGCAAATCTAGAGTTCTTCAGACGTAGAAATAGTACTGTTTTTCAGAGGCAGAAATAGCACTGTTAATTTATCCACCCTTTTCCTTCACCCCAATCCAGTATCATCATCTATCAATTCAGAGATAAGTCCCAAAACATAAATAAGGCAGGACGTTGGTGGGTGGTGGTGGAAGGATGAGCAATAGCCATCGTGCATCATGGCCTGCATAATTACTGCGGTTCTCATAGCACAGGTTAGGTGTTGTAATTTTCCTTATGCCCTAAAAGGTACAACATGTGAGAGTAACACATAGTGGGGTAGAAAATACCATGTCAGGATCACAGAACTTTCGCAGTTAAATGCTTAACACAAACTGCGACTTGGGCTGGAAATTATGTACAACTTATTATTCAAATGAGATCTTAGATAAAAAGAACTATCCATTGTATAATTACATAGGGAACAGAACCAAGAGCAACGTCCCAAACTCTATTTGTTGGCAAACACCCAGTCTACAAACCCAGTGCTCATTCAAGAATAAGAAGAGAAAAAAAAAACCATCAGAATCTGTGGAAAAAATCCATAACCATTTGAGAGAAAGTATACATTAGAAATAATTAATTATAGAAAACAGAAGAAAAAAATTCTTACTTAGAAAACAGAATCATGGCTCGGCGCCTATAGCTCAACCGGCTAAGGCACCAGCCACATACACCTAAGGTGGCGGGTTCGAATCCCCAGCCCGTACCCGCCAAACAACAATGATGGCTGCAAGCTGGGTGTTGTGGCGGGCACCTGTTGGTCCCAGCTACTTGGGAGGCGGAGGCAGGAGA